GCAACAACGCACCTAGCGTCTACCTTTACAGAGTCCATCGAAAAAGGAAATATATTTATAAGTGAAATCTCCGAAATTTTCCCGAGTTTGAGTAAAGTCCATGAAAATTCCTTCCACATCCAAAAATCCATATTCTCATGTTTTTCGGAAGCAATGTTTGTTTCAGTGAACACGATTTCATCGGGGGAACTGCACAGCGAATGGTTTATCCTCCTAGTACTTTTACCGAAAATGATGTAACTGTTTTGGGCAAACGGTGCTTTCGCTAGCTATCGTCACGTTTGCGTTTGCGTTTGCTCGATGTTTTCAAATGAAAGGTTGTGTGGGCTGCAAACGTCTGTTTTACATGGTTTCCACTTCATGCTCTAATGATGAAAGCGCTTCATTCCATCCGTTTGAGCACTAGTTTTTAATTCGTCCGCTACCTTTATTTGAACATATACTTTTACAAACATGGGCACATGACGTTAAACGGAATACATATCATCCCTTCGAAACCGTCTACCAGCACTGGCGACCCATTCAGTAATTGTTGGACGAATCTGCACCTACGTAAGACAGCCATGCACGATCCCCGCATCTGTCCACTGAAAACTCGCCGCTCATCCTTATCACGTCACGTGATTTTTAGCAGCAGCTGGCAAACTTTTCTCATCTGAATGAAAGGAATCTTAGCTTCCGTAAGCGACTCTTTCAGCTCATGATCACATCTCTCGTTGTCTAAATATGTTTGAATCCCAGAAGGCACAGGGCTGCCTTGTTGCAAACTTGTGACCGTCGGAACGTTTCTCTACCATTTTTCGTTTGTATATACGATGACGCCATCCGTTTTCACTTTGAATTGCTCAATGTAGTTTCGAATGCATTCGCGAAATGTAATAATCAGAAATAAACCTTTTTATTCAAATACTCGTATTTACGTACCTATCTCGATCTTAGTAGCTACTGCCAATTACCGACTGTACGACCATGGTCTCTAAGGCTCTGCGAATCCATTCGATGCTAGCGACTATGCAGACTCTCTACCAACCAATCGTTGGATTGTCAAAGTCTGCACCATCCTAGTGAGGGAAACCAACAGGATCCAATGTCTGCCAGGCCTCCACATCAGCTGAGATGATGTCACATACAATTTTTACCCAATGGCAGAGAGCATCGATTCTCGGATACGGCAATTCACAGCGCTGCGCATTCGTTACTTCGACAGATTTGGAGTATAACTTCCCAGTCTTAGGTTAGAGAAGTTCCAAAGCACCTCCCTAGATATATTAACCTCACAACGATGCAGTATATTCCTCTGATTGTCATCCTTCACGCTGAAATGACCACTCTAATTTTCAAAATACCAATCGGCGCTCCATTCGATCGAATGAGCCCACAGCACGAGAGGAGGATGCTTCGTGTATGGATGCGCAGCACAAGGGTGTGAATATTGGGTGTGAAGAAGTACGCCAGATAAAGGATTCGCCAAGACCTTTGCTCTTTTCTTTCACAAGGTGGCAAGGCTGAAATCATAAAAAATTCAATGCCACATAGAACTCGAACAGGAATCTCTTGAAGATGAAGAGAGCAGGATCACAATAAAAGTCGCTTAGTGAGGATCCCACTTTTAGGCGGTCTTGGCTTGCTAATATGTGATGTGTACAAATAGACTAGTACAAATAGATACAAATAGGCTGGGGCTGCAGCCCGTTTCGAGAAGTCGCGACGCGACGATAACTTATGGGAACCAGGAAGCCCAATAACGTTGATAACCCGTGTTCCATTCAAGGAAGTGCTAAACCCAACGGTTTTGGGTCAAAGATTCCAGGCTTATTCTCCAGGGACGGTGGAGAAGGGCCACAAACTTGGAGTGGGATGTGATGATTATCGGCCGTTATCGGCGAGTAATGAAAGGCGAAACAGGGAAGACTCTGCCTGAAACAGCATATATCTCCAATCGCTTGCAAAACTCTCATCGCCCCAGGACTTGAACCAGGTAATGCAATATCTCATGAGCACGACCGTTGCCGCAGCGCTGCAAACAGTTTTCGCTTCCGTTGAAGGAATTTCAGAGGTGATAACCTATGAGGGTTGCAAAACTTCAGGCATTGTGGAGTACTGATCAAGTGTCTGACCTAGTGTGAACCCGCTGCATCAGCTGACGTGTCGGTGTCATGGGATCATGGCCAAGGGGACCTACGGGAGGTGGAGCGCTCCCATAACCAAGAAAGGAACTATGTACAACACGATCAATAAGTGGAAAACAGCAAAAAACAGCCGGTCACCCTAATGGTACAAAGTGAGCATTATTATGGTTAGCTGCAGTGGCGCTCTTGTCATTGTTACTCTTCCCAACTACCACCGACTCTAAGCTCCCACCGCTCTGCATTCTTAAAAATTCAATGGGTACTGCCGAGACGCAGAGGGTGACCCTGATGGTCACTAAATGTACTCCGGAGGACATTCTATTGCCCAAGCGTGACCCCCGCTATCGGTTGCCTTGCCTCTTTCTCCCCTTCTCCGGGTTAGCCGCCTATGGTTTTTGCCACCTACTGACTAGTCACTTGAGTGTGTTGTCTAGACCTCACCTTCTATTTGGGGTCAACGTGAGATCCCCTCGTTTCCCAATGCCTTTCAAGGACGGACCCAAGACGAGGTCAGTGCGACCCCTTAGCCACCTATAGACTTGCTATTTAGGCCACTTCACTACCGTACCAGACCATATCGGTATCGGAGTCGTTGGAGGATTCTTGTCCAGTAAGTCTATGGTAAGTCTATAGTCTACAGTAATAGCAAGTTAATATTTTCCTTCTGGTGTTAAATAACATGTTTATGATCAGCTCGATTCTAAACACTTTTGTATTCAGCTATCTGCTCATTCGGTCCAAAAAATCGGCTCGATCCATGAACTGCCTTGTTTCATATACATGGTGAAATGAGATCCTGATTTCGGTGTAGTACAGGGTGTCCCAAAATTACTTGCGCCTATTTATTGCAATGTCTTTTGAACTGTTGGACACAGAATGGTAATTGAATATAAACATAATTATACTAACATCATACACTACAACATGCAACAACCAGATTTCAAAATGTCCTCCACCTGCACGAATTCAGGCCCGGAGTCTCTTCTTGCACCATTCGCACGTTGCACGCAGGTGTTCCTTATCCAATTCTTCCCAGGCTTCCTTTGATGCTGCTTGCAATGGTTGCAGATTCATACGACGAGCTCGACATGCCTTGCTCTTGATCACGGACCAGACTGAGAGTTCCAGTGATTAAGATTAGGGGAGCAAGAAGGAAATTTCCCGCGGCGACGAAGTCGGGCAGTTCGCAGCTCGCATCTGCCTCGAACGAGCTTGGCCTCATAGGCTGTAGCACTGTCCTGCTAGCAACACCACGGCTTGTTCCCAAAGTGGGGGTTGGATCAAGGTTTCAATACGTTCACTAATACGCGCGTCCTTGCTGATCTTCACACATGAATCGGCAAAATTCAACGGCATCTCATCATTGGCCGCGACTCACATCCAATTCATTACTGATGCCGAGTTAGCCGTTCTTCGACAATCTTCCCTCGTGAGATGACACTCCCGATACTCTGACACTCTGATCTTCTGACTGGAATGTGATCGCTTTTTAACATCGGCTCCACAGCGAATATTTTCTTGTCAGAAAAAACGATTGAGGGTTGCGTGTCGCCAGTGAAGCGCGCTAGTACCTTCCCAACTTTTTGGCCTCTCTGCTGTTTGTTGCTGAACAGAATGAAGCGGCACTTCTGCATGTGATAGAGTTTGTAGTGCTGCTTCTCCTTAATGATGCGCCCCATCGATGACTTCGATAAATTCAGCGGCCTCGCCATCCTTCTGATGGAGCACCGTGGATTGCTAAGCAAACATTTCGTTGATTCTATCCGTGAACACGCTGACCATTCTTCCTTGTACAGGCTTGTGAGTGAGTGTTCTTATTCTCCTGCATCGTTTGTTGGCCGCCTTTACTGTGTTCACGGGAACACCAAGAAATTTAACAATGTCCTAAGATGCAGTCTCTTGCTCGCGCACGCGAATGATCGCAGGTCACCTTGGATCACCTCTCGCCATCTCAGAGATACTGGCAGTTTTACCCCAATAACGATGCAGTTCACAAGAGAACCTACCTGCACAACTATTTAGTAGCGCCCGAAATGAGAATAATCGATATACCTTTTCCAATGAAAATTTTTTCCTTTCCTTTTAATTTTCCTTTTCCTTTTCCAAAATTTTTTTTTGGAATTTGGCGCAAGTAACTTTTGGGACACCCTGTAGAACCCATTCCTGAGATCAGAGACAGATTAGGGAAAAGTCGGCCGCTCGGCGAATGGACTTACTTCTGAGGCCTGATCCTGAATCTCTGTTTGTATTGCTCGTGTACTTCATTGAGCATGGATACGAAGCTTGTGTTGTAAGATGTTGCGTTATAATTGCCGATGATGTTTCTTATTACAAGTTGTTCATATGATTGAGCGTTCTTTGAAGCCAGTGCAGCGGAAATCAATCGTGTCACATTTTTTCCTACATCCTTCTTACTGCTGCAATCAGCCTAGTACGGCAGATGTGTAGACGGGTTTGTTGTAAGCTGGATACTTCTTCGAGGTGGTTTTAACTCCTTGAAAAAGCGATGTGTTCGCAACGACTGACACAAACAAATTCGTATGAACTATGAACGGCGCTGCAGGATGAATCCATAACGACCCCTTTTTGACCGTGCAAAGCAAGCAGTTCTTGCACATTGCGGAAAAATGCTGGGCAATAGTGGCTTACAAACCGCTTCTACAACTCTAAAAATAGAATATTCCACATTAGTAGAAATTTGTCATAGGCTAGAAAATGGATTCTATACAAGACAGCACTGTTTGATATCAGAGCTCATCACCCAAAGTGAGCTACCGTGATGCTTTCATCAAAAATTTCAATATTTTATCGAAAGTTATTTTCTTGCGATTTCTTTTGTAGATATTCTATTGTTCACTATTACGGTCACGATCACTGCAAACCGCTGTTGTGGTGGTCTGATTTATCGATAGCGTCGGCAGATTTATGTCGAAATATGCGGGCGATTCCAGGCATGCCCGACAGAATGCAGTACCTGAAATGAGCAGAAACTGTTGCGGCCGGTCTTCAGGAGCAAGATGCTAACAACTACCATGATTTCTGGATTTATCAAACTTGGTGGAATGAGGTGAATGGTGCTCAAAATGCTACAAGTCAGAAGCATTCACTCCAGTCCTTTCAAGAGCTGTCTCCTAGTAATCAAACGAAGAGAAGGCGTTAGCATTGATCGGCTGCATTAATATACACCCCATTTTGAAGGGTCGCCAGTCTAACCCTTTTCGGACCGCTTCATAGCTATGGAGTGTCAGGTCCGATTTGCTCCCTGTGGCCGCCTTACACCCATGGAATGTCAGGGACTACTTTTCCGAGGATACTGCTTTTCGGCAAAATCTTTTATTTCGCTATCTATGTAGATACTCATGTCGTAGGCATGAATAAACCTAAGCTTTAATCTCAGGCTATTTCAGAAAATAAGTAAATAACACTTATAAACCATTTGAAAACGCTTCATACAACAGAATTTATGACACCACGTGCATGTCGTATCTGATGCTATTGATCCAAACGTTTCGGACATTTCTGGTCCCTTTTTCCCATTACAACTTATTTTGAACAATTTTCATTCCTGCCTCCTTTTTATGGCCCTATCACTTTTATTACACGACGGTTTTCTGTCATATTCACTACATATATACTCTTAGGCATGACAAATACGAAAACGGGACAAAGTAATGGTCTGACAAGTAAAATATACTATATTTATAAAACATACTATATCTAAATATACTATCTTTATGCTCGCCACGCAGCCCGCGACGCCAGCCACGGCAAAAGTGCGCGGTGAAAGAGTTCATGACGTCACAAGGTCGGCTACGGAGCCTTAGAGGTAAGAATAAGGATTAAATTAGTGTGGTATTCCACTCAAATGTGAAAGTAGGGATAGGAGGTGGACCGCCAGTGGAGAAAAAAGGAAAGAAAATCGTGAAATACACAGGAAATACGAGCCTTTTGCTCTACGCTGCGGAGAAGTTCAAAAGGCCGGCAGGGAGATGAGAGATAATGTGAGCGCGGAGAGCGGTAGAGAAATCAGAGTAGAAAGAGAATCAAGTTAGAGATCAAGAGCTAGAGATCAGTTGAGATCAAGTTAGCGAAGCAGACAATATCGAGTGGGCGGACCATTTTAGCTTTGGTGGAGTGTGTTAGAAATCCCCTCTGCCTAGACGAAGAGTGAGAGTGCGACACCCAAGGAAGAAGGGCTCCACCACTACGGGAAGCTATCAAAGGCTGATCCGGCCTCAGAATTCAAAAACTTTGTCGATAAGTCGTGGTCAATTTCCCGGGAGTTGGGGGCAGAACTCAGAACCGAAGTGACCCTAGGTTCCGATGTGATCTAATCCGCCTGAAGGCGACCGAAGCCGACGAGGGAATGAATCCTGTCACTGACCAGCAGCGTATACTTGGGTGAGGAAAAAGATGCATGTTACAGGCAGATTAGTGGCAGCCTTCGTCGTATAGCCGGATATCACCAATGCTCACCTTTACCTACTGTTTTCCCTTCTTCTTATGAGAAGGCTTACAACTCGAGAGCATAACATAATCAAATGAGATTTCACGTCGTTGTGCTTTGGTATACTCTCTAATTTTCACAATCGGTGCTCATAATGATTGACGTCAAAATTTTTGAGAATCGATGCTCATGATTTTACCTGTGTGCGATATCATGGATAGTTTTGTAGTGTTCAATGAGTTGGAAACAACCGTATCGCTGCCCAAGTATGATCTCTATTGTCTCCTTGACGCCGACCTGGAGCGAAAAAACTGCACCTTAGTAATTTCTGATTGCCGTCATTACAGCAACCCCTTTGTTGAGTATTCCGGAAAAAAAATTCTTAGTTTGGTTAATACTCGTTTCACTCCGAGAAGAAAAGAAAAAGCCAACAGAAAAATGGCGGAGCCTATACCAGCAAATTCTTCTGTAAACCGCATACTTGGTGCGTTGAATAGTTTTTGGACGTCTGCACATATAAACATAATTCAGGGAATGATATCGAGGTTGACATCGGTGACCTGAGCTGCTCTCGGCTATCCCATGTGCTGCTGCGGGGCAGCTGTAGGGCAGAAGAGAGGGAGAGAGAGGGAGGGAGGGGAAACAACCGCTAATAAAAAATGGTCAAAATCAGTGTCAAAGCATCACTCGAAACCGATCATGATTGTGGTAAGACCGCTAGACAAGAAGGCGCACTTGTTGCACATACGGAACTCCTCCACGAAGCGTTGAGTTGTCAAATGAATGTGAGCACGGAGGAAGGTGTGAAGCATTGGAAGCTGGGAAGGAGAGGCCCGGGCTGAGGGAGAAGTTGGAAAAGGGCAATTCCACTTTTGGAGGAGTTGGAATGAAAGGCCCACACACATCCACCATTCATCTATTCAAATTACCTTATCAGTCCTTTGCAAACAATTTTCTAACGTATCACCTGTATCACCTGTCGTCCCGTTGATCATCGATTTGCTCGAGCGGGCGCCAGCAACGTCTCCATTCGTCCCTGTCGCGTGCAGAGTGGTCCAGTGGATCCTCCTCGCTCGAGGGACACGAAGTCCTTCATTCCTTTCGTTCAGAGCTTTCGTGAAGAAGTCTGACCATCGGGCCGGCGGTCGTCCAGGTGTTCGTTTGACGTCCCGAGGGATCCAGTCGGTAACCGCTCTGGTCCAACGGTCATCGCAAAATCGCATGACGTGTCCGGCCCACCTTATCTTCGATTCCTTGGCGAAAACGGCAGCGTCCCTGATCTTCGATCGTTGGCGTAGTTCGGAACTCCGGATTCCCCTCTGCACTTGCGTGTATAGGGTTACTCCTAGCATCGTCCTCTCGACAGCGCGTTGGATAACGCTGACCGCATGCTCGTCCTGCCTGCGCAGAGTCCAAGTCTCTGAGGCGTAGGTTAGGGCAGGAAGGACAGCGGAATCGAAGAGGTGGGCACGGAGCCGGATGTTCTTCGTCTTCTTCACTACTCCCTCGATGTTCTTGAATGCTCCCCATGCCGCTCGTTTCCTCCTGCTCAGCTCTGGAGCTAGGTCGTTCATCATATTGATTTCCCGACCTAGGTACACGTAGCTGGAGCATTCGGTGATGTTCGTTCCGTTGAGCGTGAATGGGGCAACCAATCCGTTTCTCATAAACATCGTCTTCGTTAGGTTCAGCTGCAGACCAACCTTACCACAAGCGCAGTCGAAATCGGCCCGTTGAGCGTGAATGGGGGGAACCAATCCGTTTCTCATAAACATCGTCTTCGTTAGGTTCAGCTGCAGACCAACCTTACCACAGGCGCAGTCGAAATCGGCCCGTTGAGCGTGAATGGGGGGAACCAATCCGTTTCTCATAAACATCGTCTTCGTTAGGTTCAGCTGCAGACCAACCTTACCACAGGCGCAGTCGAAATCAGCCCGTTGAGCG